ACACGGTAGGTACACAACACTGCCTTTGTTTAATTAATACTTTTTTCAGTAGACCATAATATCAATGCTTCTCTTGCTTTAAAATATCTTACTTAGGAAGATGGGTATTTAACTAACTTGTATTTCCCTTGTTCCCTTCCTGTCATTTGGCATAATTTACCTACTTTCCCCATCTTTAACTTTTTAATGTTTTTTTTCTGTTTCTCAAAAACAAAAAGCAGTTAAACATTTAGATTTGTGTAGGATTCCTGCCCTATTCTCCAGTCTCTACCTAAACTATTTCAGTTAGATCACTGTGTTAGGAATATTAAACTAGCCTCTCCACCGATGCAAATAATTCTAATCAGACCAAATCAGACCAAATAAAAGATGCCCATGTTTAGTGCAGTGCTCCTGGGTGGCACCGGGAAAGCATGGCAAAGGGAAGAGAGAGAGAGAGAGAGAGAGAGAGAGAGAGAGAGAGAGAGAGAGAGAGAGAGAGAGAGAGAGAGAGGGGGAGACCACTCAAAACCCGGAGACCATGTGTACATTCTATGGGGAGCAGTTTAAAGTGGTCTTGACCTTCCCTGGGGAGGGATCACCATTTGGCGGGCTTTCTTGGAGGTAGAATTTGGACTAAGACACTAAGTCTGCTCCCAGGGGAGGGGGCTTGAGATGGAGTTCCTGCCCAGTATTCCAAAGATGGGTGCCAGGGGCTGGGATGAGGCCCCGGACTATAATATTCCAGACTCTTCATATAAAGGTGATGCTTTTGACCAAACACATTGCATTCGGCAAAGATGAGGTTTTAAATGCCAAAGTTTTTAAATGCAAAGTGTGGAGTGTGGCTTGCCTCACCTCTGGAAACAGTCAGGATAGGCTTCAGACCATCTTTTGGGCACCTGATATAGTTCATTGATGTTGTCAGAAATAAGAAACATTTCCTGAAGAAATCAACTCTGTGATTTCTGATAGGAGGTTGCCACGGGGACAGCTCTAGAGATTGTAGTCTCTTTACTCATCTTGATTACGGATTTTACATTTCTCAGATTCTGAATGTAGTTTGGAAAATGATTTCCTACCCTTGGTCCTCGGAAAGTACTCAGACATGCTAGGCCAGTTTGCTACCAGTTTGTACGTGGGCTACATTCCCAGTCCTCCTTTAGAAACAACAAGAGCCAACCTTTTCTTTTGAGATGGTCTCATAAAGTTTCCAAGCTGGCACTGAATTCACTTCATAGCCCAGTAGACCTTGATCGTGCGGCTTCCGAATCCCTAGTAACTTGGGTGAAGTAGGGGCGAGAGGTACATTTCTTTTAGAAATCTCCAAATGGCATAATATACTAATACTGGGAAAGGTATTAGTGGCACAATCCATAAATGTTTGGATTTCTGTCCTTCTGTTTCGGCTACTTCACCGTTCATGCTAGGAATTGAGGACCTGCACATATAGTTTCTCTCAGATGTTGGTTAAATTTTCATACCAAGGACAAGCTCTAGATCCACAGGGCACATGCATATATACACACTTGGGCGTGAAGCTTGAATGCTTTAGATTTGTCTGTTTGGGCGAGCCCCAGCCCTACAAATGCCCTCTCTCTGACTTTCAATCTGTGTCATTTTCTTTTTACTGAAAAGCCAGAACTGTCAGAAATGAAAAGCAAGTTTGACTCAACACCAACGTTACCCTTCACAGCAGCCCACGTAGCCGAAGATACAAAGGAATCACCCCTCCTCCGGTAGTCGTTTTGACTCGGTTTTGATTATTGTTGCCAGTAGGATTTATTGATTGCTTCTAGCCCCTGAGGTATTTTCCTGATTAGAGAATTCTCCACCTTCCCGTATCAAATCCCCCCATGTGTATATAATGAGTATGTGTGGAGGTTGAAGGCCAACATTTGGTATCTCCCGCAATGACTCTTCACCCTATTTTCTTAAGAGAAGCTTTTTTCACTGCACCTGGGCACCTACTGATTCACCTAGGGGAGCTGGACTGCAAGCCCCAGTAATCACCATGTCTCCATTTCCCCAATGCTGGGACATGGCCTCTTTAAGTGGGTTTTGGAGGGTCCAACTTGAGTCTTCATGGTTGTATCACAAGCATCTACCAACTGAGCCATCATCTGCCAGTCTGAGTTTGAGAATTTTTATGTGTTGCTAATTCCTGAAATACCAAACTGAATAATTCATCACTCCTTGACCAACATGGGTTTGACACAGTCAGAGAGTGAAGAGCCATAAAAATTTCAATGATTTTTATGCAAAACCTCTCTTATTTGAACAGTTGATCCTTTGGTATATTTCCAGATAAGTTACTATTCCCTAGTGTCCCCAATTCTGTCACCACAGCTGATGTCCTGCCTGATGGATACAGTCTGAAAGAGGACCAGCGCACAATCTTTGGTTACTGAGAAAGCAAGAGACAGATATTGCCTTTCTGAAAAGAGAAGTTGATGCCATTAAGTATAGTTTCTATAAGCTTTCATATTAAAAATGTCTTAGAAAAAGAGACAGATTTGAGTATGTTTTTTGTTTGTTTGTTTTGTTTTGTTTTTTGAGACAGGGTTTCTCTGTAGCTTTGGGGCCTGTCCTGCAACTAGCTCTTGTAGACCAGGCTGGCCTTGAACTCACAGAGATCTGCCTATCTCTGCCTCCTGAGTGCTGGGTTTATAGGTGAGCGCCACCACTGCCCAGCTTGAGTGTGTTTTAAAAGCAGTAGATTGTGGGTGGAACTTGGTGTCAGGTAACATGCTTGACATCCATGAGGTCCTGGGTTCAATCCTCAGCACCGCAAAAGTAAAAAAAAAAAAAAAAAAAAAAAACAAAAACAAAAAAAAACCTCACCAAATATGAGCTGTGAGACATCCCTGCATATTATTTTGTTTTAAAGCACAAATTCATATACAAATCTACCTTTGGGAACTTACCTATTTTCCATTAATAATTAATTGTATTTATATTTATGTTATCAGAACTTGACTTCACAATTGTCTGTTGGGTTGCATTGGCAATACTTTGGGGGCGATGCCAGCATATTTAAGCTCAAGGCTTCTCCTCCTTGCAGCAGGTTCTATGTCCTTTACAGATAGTTGCTCAAGCATGCAAGTCAATCATGTCCTACGTTAACTTCACTCACCTCTGAGTACAAGGGAAAGAACACTGTACGAGAAGGTGGAAAATTTTAGACACATTCTAACTATACCTTTCAGTGGTAAGAAACTCCTGACAAGTCAAATATGTTCTGATATTTTGATGTTACTTTTCCCTATTAGAAGTTGCATGCCAGAGAAGCATCTTAAGACACATCTCTCCCAGAAGAAAATCCGGTCTACTTCACTGCTTCCTTCCTGCTTCTTCAGTCAGAGGTTCCATGGTACCCTGTGACCTGAAGGGGTCATAGACTTTACTGATGAGGAAGGACAGGCTGAGAGGGACTTGGGGGATTCTATGGCAGTGACTAAAGATCATTAAATTCTCTTGTCTCAGAAACACCAAAACAACTAACCACACAAAGAGCTCCCACTCCATCATGTAGCAGGAAACCCTAGAAAATGATCTTGAGAAAACTAAATTCAGAAGTAGTAGCTCAAAGAATTTGACGATTGATAATGCTCATCCATACATCATCCATAGAAGTAGTGACATACTTTTATGTTTAGAGGGTGTCTTAGCCTTCTCTTGCTGTGAAGAGACACCATGATCATGGCAACTGTTACAAAGAAAAGCATTTAATTAGGGCTGGCTTACAGTTTCAGAGGCTTAGTTCACTGTCATCATGGTGGGAAGCATGGCGTCACTCAGGCAGACCTGGTACTGGAGAAGAAACTGGAAGTTCTATATCCGGAAATGCAGGAAAAGAAAGCCACGGTCCTCTCTGGGGTTTCTGAAGCCTCAAAGCCTACCTCGAGTGATATACTTTCTCCAAACAGGGCCACACTTCCTAAGCCTTTCAAATACTATCACTCCCTTATGACTAAGTCTTCAAATATATGAATCTTCAGGGTCATTCTTATTTAAACCACCTCAGAGGGGTAAAATATACTTACAAATCCCGAGAAAGGAATCATGCAGGTGTCACCTCTAAGTAGCTTCAATACATATTTTTGCCCCCTCCAGGAACTCCAGCTCCATAGCTAGCAATAAATAAATAAACAAATAAATAAAATAAGGGCAATAACTTGACTTGGAATTATGAATTTATATCTTCAGGAGAAGACAATTAAAAGTAGATTTAGAGATTCATTCTCCATAATGAAAAGATATATATGTATATATTTCTTTAACAAGGTGAAGAGACCCATATGGATTTAGTGGGGGAGTTTATTGTGTCCTTGGTCCACAGTAAAACATTGATCAGACGTTGATCAAAACTTTGATTCTGTTTTGGGTAGCAAGAAGGAAGCATAGACATGCTCTGAGTAAGAATCAAGTCTGATAGAAATGACCACTTTCATCTTCACGATTAACGTTCAAAGACAGAAAATACTAGTCTCAGTAACATATAAGGATATTAAGGCACAAAGTTAGTCACTATTGGTGGTGAAAACTAGGTTTCAAACTGTTTGTTTTGAGATTTTCCCTTTATTCTGTTCTTAGAACTTCATGTCAATAGTAACAACAGTAATACTGTCACTTTCAGGGAATATTTAAGTACCTGGCGTTGTGCTGAGAGCTTTAAACACATGGTTCCATTTAATTCTCACATAAGATCTGTGAGGTGGGAGTTATTTCCACTGTTGAGATGAAGAACCCGAGACTGAGAGACCGTAAGGGATTCCCCATCCTCCTCCCCCATCACCAGGCTTGAAACAGTGGAGCCGGGCTTCCCTGTGTCTGTAGTGTGGGCTAGAAAAACCTGTGGTTGGACCTGCAGGGCCACAGGGTGCTCCTTCGCTGGTGATCATCAGCATGACCTTGCTTAGCCTGTACACAGACCCAGTCACTTCGGGTGGGTGACACATATTCCTCATATCTCTTGGTTCTGATATCACTAAGATCCTTAGTATGTTTTTCTTTCACAGGTGCTTGCTGGATCACAAGAGGCTGATAGCATCTCTGAGGGATCGAAGTTGAAGAGGAATGTTCGTCAAACTGAGCCTAACTGCCCAGAAGGATTATACCGTGGGGGCCAATTTTGCTGTCAACCATGCCGGCCTGGTAGGTTACACGAAGCATCCAGGGAAGTGGGGTAAGGGGTTGGGATGTCCTACAGGTAAGAATGCGTTGGACAGTTAGTTATACAGTTATTGGCCATCCTATGGTGCATAGAATTACAAAGAAGAGCTAGGGGAAGACTATAAAATTATCCTCCAAACACAAATCTTGTTTTTTTTGTTTGTTTGTTTTTGTTTTTTCTATTTTTATCTCACATGTCCAGGCTGCTTGTGAGAAAAAAAAACCTGTAATTCACAAATTGCATACATGTCTAAAATGAGAAGATTCATCTTTTTAGTTGTTTCTCAGGAGCTAAAAAGAGTCATCAGTGATGGTTAAAAGACTGTCGTCTCAAAGCTGACTAAATCTGGGGCTCCCTCAGCAAGGAATTTCCACCCTCAGCGGTATGACTCAGCCCCTCTCTTTAGTCTCTCACTAAAGCTCTCTATCCCGGCACTGAAGCCTGCAAAATACATTTCCTTTTTGCAGCTGAATAGCCAGATGCGCTAGAAAAGCAATGGACAGCAACGAAAAAGTTTTTCAAAATTCAGTGTTTTGAAATGCGGGGCATTTTTAAACTAAAACTTGCTCAAGTACCAGCAAATGAGAGGCTAAGGAAAATGTAATTCTGTAAGCCCAGTTTTCACTTTGGGGTTGACCACAGTTACTTTCAAATCAAGGATAAGACCCGACGGCATTTAGGATTGTTCTGCAGGTTTCAGGCAGTAGTCATAGACCTCCAAAAGACTTTCGTAGGTTTCATCACTGGCCTCTCAGGCTTGCAGTACTAAAAGTACAAAGCAGGCCCAGGTCATGTACATACAGACTCCAAGAGTCTCCATGGGGGACCTTCCTGTCCAGGTTTTCCTAAGAATAGCAAGAAAGTTTCCCCTGTGATACAACCCACTTATACCTAAGTTTCTACACAGCTGCTGTTTTCCAAATAGCAATTGGGAATCATCTATTTTTTTTTAAGTTGCTAAAGACGATTAGTTTAGCCTATGAATTTGAAATCCATATCTATAGTTTGAAATTTTGGATTATATGTTTAAAATTTAAAGTGCAAGCTAAAACAGAGGTGATGTGTTTTGCATGCTAAGCTCTCAAAGATGTCAGCTGTGTGCTTTTACTATACGTTTGTCTTGTTTGTATTTTAAAAAGGAAATCTCATGCCTGCTGCAAACTTTTAAGAAGGAAAAATATGATATGTGTTGAGAACCCCACAATGTCTTTACTCACTGATGCGCCATGGGTTATTTATTTAAAAATGCATTGAAAATTGAAAGTTTTGTGTGTATGGCATTTTATCTTGATGGCCGACTCTGTAGGATTGTACATGTAAATTCCAGAGTAATCAAAGTCTGGAATAGTTTTTTATCAATCACAGCCTAAGTGCACCAACATCTCTGATCTATTTCCAATCTAATTCTTAGTTGTATGGATTTTTTTAATTTAAATTAATTTTTTTAAAAAAACAATCTTTTCTCATTTTACATACCAATCCCAGTTCCCAGTCCCTCCCCTCTTCCCACTCCCCTCACCTACTTTCCACCCCACTTCTATCCACTCCTCAGAGAAGATAAGGCTTCTGATGGGGAGCCAACAAGGCCTAGCACATCACTTTGAGGCAGGACCAAGGCCCTCCCCACTATATCTCGGCTGAGCAAGGTACTCCTGCAAAGAGAATGGGCTCCAAAAAGCCAGTTCAAGCACCAGGGGGAAATCCTGGTCCCCACTGCCAGTGGCAGCACAGTCCTACAACTGTCACCCATATTCACAGGGCCTAGTTTGGTCCTATCCTGATCCCCCCACCCCACCCCACAGCTGTCAGTCTGAAGTCAGTGAGCTCTCACTAGCTCAGATATGCTGCTTCTGTGGGTACCACCATCATGGTCTTAATCCCTTCATTCACATTTTTGCTCATCCCTCTCTTCAGCCGGACTTTGGAAACTCAGCCCAGTGCTTCGTACTGGATCTCTGCATCTGCTTCCATCAGTTCCTGGATGAAGGTTCTAGGATGGCAATTAAGATAGTCATCAATCTGATCACAGGGGAAGGCCAGTTCAGGCACCGTCTCCACTATTGCTTAGGATCTTAGCTGGGGTCGTCCTTGTGGATTCCTGGAAATTTCCCTAGTGCCAGGTTTCTTGCTAACTTCATAATTGCTCCCTCAATCAAGGCATCTCTTTCCTTGATATCCTTCTCTGTCCTTCCCCCTCTAGACTTTTTCCTATTTCCTCATGTTCTCCTCCTCCCTTCCCTTCTCTTCTCCTCCTCCCCTTCTACCCTCCTTTCTTCCCCTATCCCCATGATCCCAATTTTCTCAGGAGATCTTGTCTATTTCCCCTTTGCAGGAAGATCTATGTGTGTCTTTCTTAGGGTTCTCCTTGTTACCTAGCTTTTCTGGGGTCATGGACTATAGGCTGGTTATCCTTTGCTTTATGTCTAATATCCACTTATGAGTGAGTACGTACCATGTTTGTTTTTCAGGATCTGGGTTACCTCACTGAGAATTGTTTTTTTTAGCTCCATCCATTTGCCTACAAATTTCAAGATGGCATTGTTTCTTATTTCTTTTTTCTGCTGAGTAGTACTCCATTGTGTAAATGTACCAGGATTTTCTTTATTCATTCTTCAGCTGAGGGACATCTGAGTTGTTTCCAGGTTCAGGCTATTATGAATAATGCTGCTATGAACACAATTCAGAAAATGCCCTTATGGTATGAGTGTGCATCCTTTGGGTATATGTCCAAGAGTGGTATTGCTGGGTCTTGAGGTAGGTTGATTTTCAATTTTCTGAGAAACTGGCATACTGATTTCCAAAGTGGCTGTACAAGTTTGCACTTCCACCAGCAATGAAGGAGTGTTATCTTTACTCTGCATTCTCTTCAGCATAAACGATCTTTGGTGTTTTTGATCTTAGCCATTCTTAAAGATGTAAGATGGTATCTCAGAGTCATTTTGATTAGCATTTCCCTGATGGTTAAGGATGTTGAGCAGTTCCTTAAGTGTCTTTTCGGCCATTTGAGATTCTACTGTTGAGAATTTTCTGTTTAAATCTATACCCCATTTTTTAGTTGGATTATTTGGTATTTTGATGTCTAGTTTCTTGAGTTATTTATATATTTTGGAGATTAGTCCTCTGTCTAATGTGGGGTTGGTGAAGATCTTTTCCTATTCAGTAGGATGCCATTTTGTCTTATATATTGTGTCCCTTGCCTTACAGAAGCTTCTCAGTTTCAGAAGGTCCCATTTACTTATTATTGTTCTCAGTGTCTGTGCTACTAGTGATATACTTAGGAAGTGGTCTCCTGTGCCCACATGTTCAAGGCTACTTCCTACTTTCTCTTTGATGAGATTCAGTATGGTTGAATTTATATTGTCTTTGATTTGGACTTTGTTTTGTGCATGGGGATAGATGTGAATCTATTTTCATTCTTCTACATGTCAACATCCAGTTATGCCAGCTCCATTTGTTGAAGATGTTTTCTTTATTTCCTTTGTATAATTTCAGCTTCTTTGCCAAAAATCAGGTATTCTTTGGTGTATAGATTAATATCAGCGTCTTCAATTCAATTCCATTGGTCCACCTCTCTGTTTTTATGCCAATACCAAATTATTTTCATTACTGTAGATTTATAATAGAGCTTGATGTCAGAAATGGTCATGTCTCTAGAAATTCCTTTATTGTACAGGACTGTTTTAGTTATTTTGGTTTTTTGTTTTTCATATGAAGTTGAGAATTGTTCTGTCAAGGTCTGTGAAGAATTGTGTTGAGATTTTGATAGGGATTGCATTGAATATCTAGGTTGCTTTTGGTAAGATTTCCATTTTTATTATGTTGATCCTACCTATCCAAGGACATAGGAGATCTTTCCATTTTCTGATATCTTCTTCAATTATTTTATTCAAAGACTTAAAGTTCTTGTTGCACAGGTCTTTCACTTCTTTGGTTAATGTTACCCAAAGATATTTTATGTTATTTGTGGATATTGTAGAGGGTAATATTTCTTTGATTTCTTTTTCAGCCCCTTTATCAATTGTATATATAAGGGATACCAGTTTTTCTTTTTCTTTTTCTTTTTCTTTTTTTTTTTTGAGTTGATCTTGTATCCTGTCACATTACTGAAGGTTTTTTATCAGCTGTATGAGTTCTCTCATAGATTTTGGGGCTACACACACACACACACACATATATGTATATATATACTATTATATCATCTGCAAATAGTAAAAGTTTGGCTTCTTTTCTGATTTGTATCCCCTTCATCTCTTTTTGTTGTCTTATTGCTCTAGCTAGAACTCTGAATCCTATGTTGAATAGATATGGAGAGAGTGGACAGCCTTGCTTTATTCCAATTTCAGTGGAATCACTTTGAGTTTCTTTCCATTTAATTTGATGTTGGATGTTGGCTTGCTGCATATTGCGTCTATTGTGTTTTGATAAGTTAATTGTATCCCTAATCTCTCCAAGACCTTTTCATGAAGGGGTGTTGGATTTTTGTTGAATGCTTTTTCAGCATCTTAGGAGATGACTATATGTTTGTTTTCTTACATTGATAGATTTTCGTATGGTGAACCACCCCTACATCTCTTGAATGAAGCCAACTTGATCGTGGTGGATGATTTCTTTTTATGTGTTTTTGGATTCAGTTTGCTACACTTTCCTGTATATTTTGCAAAACTTTCCTCTTTATTCATTATCCACTGCCACTTGCTACCACTTAGAATCTCTGCCTGAGAAGGTGAAGGTCCAGGAAGCTAATGTTTTGTCTTGCTTTCTGCAGGACTTCCTTCAACTCCTAGAGATCCTTTAACACTTAATAGTCATTTAATATAAAAAACTTGGTATTTCCAGAAGGCAGTATTCTGTAATGCTTGGTCATGGAAAGGCATGTGCACAGTTCTAATAGTAATGACAGAAAAATCTTCATGATTTATATGACAAAAACTTAGGCTTACAGACTCTAAGTGCTTTATCAAAGATTTGATAAAGATTTCTAGAAATTTCCAATGTTCTTTGGTTAAACTGTATTGTTTATGATCAGTATTTATGAATTTGGGAAAATAAAATGTGAATAAGAACAAAATGAGTTTGTTTCATATTCTCAGAAGCCAAGGACAGCCACCTCCATTGTCTACCTACTTTCTTCTCTCCAGAAAAGAGCATTTGGTCTTTGATTGTTTCTTTTCCTATGTTTCTATTGCTAACTCTCTTACTTTTTATGGGAATATTTTTTTGCCTTTCATTTTTGGAAAGCTCTTAATGTGATTGTCTTCCCAATAGTGTTTTGTCTTTTCTTGTGTGTTTGCATATAATTAGCCTAAGATTTGTTATTGTCATCTTTGCATACTTCTCATGTTCTTACATGGAGACTGCCCCAGCTCCAAAATTTTAATATCTTTTTTTCTCCATGATAGGTGAATGTAAATATTTGAACTGTATCTTTTTTCTTCATGGTAGGTGAAAGGAAAGATTTGGACTGTACAACCAATGGTGGTATACCAAAATGCAGTCTCTGCGAAGAAGGGAAGGAATATATGGACAAAGAACATTATTCTGATAAATGCAGAAGATGTACACTCTGTGATGGAGAGCACGGTATGTATCTAAGAAAGCAATTGAAGATGTGTGGATCATGCAGAACCACACACAACAGAGTTTGAGATTGAGACCTACTCTAGTACCATACTAGCATACAGGAAGGAGTAGAATGAGGTTAGCTTGGTTGTGTGGAGTCAGATCCTAAGGTAGTAATCTCTTTTAAGGGTCTTCTCAGCAATTCTCCCAAATGGAGGCAAAGGACAAAATAACCCTATGAGTGGAGTTGTACCAGCTGCAATCAAAACCACCTATAAAAACTATTTTTCATATTTAAACTTGTCTTGTGATTCTTGTTCATTGTAAGAAGAGACTGCGTTTTCATTTCCAGGTCACCCAGACTCGAATAATCACACAGAAACTATATGAATCACAACACTGTTTGGCCAATAGCTCGGGTGTATTCCTAGCTAGCTTTTACACCTTAAATAAACACATTTCTATTAATCTCTGTATTTCCACTAGGCTGTGGCTTACCAGTAATATTCTGGCATCTTTCTCTTTAGTCAGCTGCATGGTATCTCCTTGACTTCACCCACTCTCTCTCTCTCTCTCTCTCTCTCTCTCTCTATATATATATATATATATATATATATATATACGTATATATATATACACATATACATATATATATATATATATATATGGATTTCCCTGGCTCTGCTAAGTCATTGGCCAAACAGCTTTATTTATCAACCAATAAAAACAACACATATACAGAAGGGCATCCCATATCAGATCATGGCTGTACAGAGAAACCCAAGATGTGGGAATAATGTCCCCTCATCTTTGGGAGTCTGGTCTACATCATTCTACTTGGGGACCTGAATTTTTGTAGCTATTTCAATCTATTCGCAAGACCAAGATGAAAGCAAAACAAAGGAGCAATAGCAACAGCCATACTTTGGTTTGATATAAAGAAACCTCTTTTTATCGAGTTTTAAAGCTCTCTCTCTCTCTCTCTCTCTCTCTCTCTCTCTCTCTCTCTCTCTCTCTCTCATAAATAAAGCTTTTACATCAGACTGTTAAAAAGTGATGCCAAACTCTGGTTGTACATTAGAGCTACTCAAGGAGCTATTCCAATACTAATGCATAGGTGTTAACTCCCAATTAAATTAGAATCTCCAAGTTGAGTCTGAACATGTCTCAGTTTAAGACTAGTTTAGGCTTATCATGTAGCATTCCAACATGCTAGACATGACAGTGATGATGATGATAATGATGATGGTTTCTAGGCCATGTACTTAAGGCTCAAGATTCTCAATGAAAGGAGCTGAGGGTCCATCTAAGCAATGATAGAGAGTGTCTGGTGTAACTAGAGACTGTACTTTCATTTCCCAGCTGTCCAATACCAAGTAAACACACAGAAACTTACATTAATTATAAACCGTTTGGTCAATGGCTCAGGCTTCTTACTAGCTAGCTCGTACAACTTAAATTAACCCATTTCTATTTATCTATGTATTGCCATGTGGCAGTGACATTCTCTCATTTTCTACATGTCTTGTTTCCTTGGTGACTGACTGGCATCTCCCAGACTCCTTCTCTCTCTCTATCTCTGCTTGGATTTCCTGCCTGCCTCTATGCTGCCTAAGTATTGGCCAAATCAGTTTCTTTATTAACCAATGGTAATAAGACATATTCACAGCATACAGAGGGGAATCCCACCTCAGTCTGGCTTTCTGGGTTATCTGTCCACTAGCAGCTCCACTTGATTGCTTGTCCTTTCCATCTGGTGCTGCCATTTTTTTTTTTAAATTAGTAAATGTTGTCATAAAGGTGTGATAGTGTAACAGTTGATAATAAACAGTAGATCTAAATAAAATCCATGAAAATCTGGGCCATCATTTTCATAACTTATTTTGAACTAGCTGCTACAATGAATGCTTTATAAACGGTCTTTCTAGGTTTAGAAGTGGAAACAAACTGCACCCAGACCCGGAATACCAAATGCAAGTGCAAATCCAACTTCTATTGCAATGCTTCTGTCTGTGAACACTGCGATCCCTGCATCTCGTAAGTTTCAGTATTCAGTGCCTAAAACACTAGCTACAAACTTGAGAGACCCTACCCTTCTAGAGAAGAACCACGCTGAGTGGGAGTTAGGAACTGAGTTCTAGTCTTGACTCTTTCATTTGCTCAGGTACCATCAATTAGCCCCAGACATCACTGAGTACTTTCCAGTCTCTGAACATTACCAAAACCAGGTGACACTGCTTACTTCTTTGGTTGGTGATGGTGATGGAAGACATGCCACTGATGCCACTGTCATCAAGGCTTTGGTTCTCAGGGCAAAGAAAGTCAAAAGACCAATGCTTATTGTACATCAACATTCCTGATGGAGGCTAGGAAAGCCTGGAAAGGAACTGGATCACAAGAACAGTGCCTTGATACTAAAGGGTTTGCTTTTGATTCAAATCTAGCAAACCTGGTTGCACTGCTCACAAATTGGGCTAATTTGAGCAGATCACTTAACACACCTGAACTTCAGTTCTCTCACTCATGGAATGCAAAGAATATTTAATTAGCTCCACCCACCTGCCACGTTTCTCCAGAGATCACACTAGGTAGTATGTGTTGCAAACACAGCTTTTGCATCTCATGGTACCCTTTGTGGTAGTGCACTTGCCCAGCAAGTGCAAGGTCTTGTGTTCAATTCTCAACACTGAAAGAAAAGTAGCTTTTGGTTTGTAAGATGCTGGTTTCTTAGAATGCTTGGAACTGCTATTTCCTTGTCATTCCATAAGCCTGTAACTCGTCTTTGGAACCTATGGGCTTTCATCTAATAGGTTTGAAAAGCAGAGGCATGATGCTTTAAATCTTATTAGGAAAGACATTTGAGTTGCTACCTTTGCTCTCCTCTCTAGCTCCAAGTGTCTGAGAGTGGTGAAGGGCAAGTTGGGGGTTGCGGGGAAGTAGTTAACTTGGCCAAGTAATAGCACAATGATACCCCTGTACACTTTTTAATTCTGATTCAGTTTTCTTCTCGATGGCACTCATTGAGGTATAGTATAATTATCACTGTGCTGTTGGTGAACTTACGGGCTCCTGGAGGTTTCCTGATCTCTCTGCACACCTGTGTAGGCCTCAGAAAGAAGTGGGCTGTGAACTCGGACTGTCAGAGTTTACTCATCTGAAGAAAAATCCCACAAGTGCCTTTTGACAGCCCTGATCACTCCCTGCTGGAGCCCTGGGCAGCACCCTATGCAGTGGCTCCCTTCAGGTCATTTTAATAAGACTTTGTAAAAAAAATTGCTCTTGATAAGTTATTTTTAAGTAGCTTATTTTAAGCTCTTGTATCTTAAGAATTTAATTTATTGCCAATTTTAAGTTTATTTTTGTCTATTCTATTCTTTTGCATATCAGTTTTTTATTACCTTTTAAAACTCTTGATATCATTTTTATTTTTCAAATATGTGACACAAGGATATGTATGTGATTGCAATGGTGGGGAGACTAGAAGATGCTGTTAGATGCCCCAGAGCTGGAGCTAGAGGTGCCTGTGAGCTGCTTGGTGTGGGTTCTGGGAACTGCTCTCTGATCCCCTCCACAAGCAACAAGCACTCTTAACCGCTGAGCCATTTCTCTCGCTCCTATATCTTAAAGTAGATTTAACATCGTTCAACCAAACACTCAATCCCAGTTCTTAGCTTGTGCCATCTTTTGATGGTGATCTAGAAATGTCTGAGAGGAAAGAAGTGCCGGAGAAGAACAGGCAAATAAAAAGAACCCTAATGTGTAATGTACATTGGAAGACAGGAAGGAATCTACGCAGGCCTTCTAAGCTTCTTCTGCCTTTTCCCCCTAGGTGTGAACATGGAATCCTTGAGAGGTGCACATCAACTAGCAACACCAAGTGCAAGGAAAAACGTAATCATTTGCTTATTTTTTTTAACATCCCTATCATCATGTCAGAACAAAAGCGTATTGGTTTGTTATTGATTAAGAGAACAGAGCTTCACTTTATCTTAAAAGCTGCTTAATTTCATATCAAATGTCCAATATTCCCAATCACAGGTTCCAGACATCATTTACTATGGCTGCTCATCATCATCCCCGTTTTGGGAATATTGCTTTGTAAGTCCTCTTTTTGTTCAAACCGTAGATTGAAATGACATGGGAAGTAGCCGCTGTGCCCACTGAGAAAGCACAGAAAGCCAGGGAGAGTGTGACAATGACACCTGGTCAACTGACCTTCTTTGGGGCTGTCCTCCCTAATAAACTATTTACTTATTTTATTATTTAATTTTTATGTTTTTTATGTTTATTTTTGTTTATTTAATTTTATGTTTCTTTATGTTTTGATTACTCTTTCTTATTTTGTGCCTTTAACTTAAAATCTACAACAACACACTTTGTCCAAAAATTACTTCAGAATGTCAGAAGTTAAGGGAAAGCTGGGTCTCATTATTGTTAGTCTAGAAAATCACCTTGAAGCCTAGAGACGGGAAGGTACACCAGCTTTCAGGGACTCGGAATCTTCTAATTTTTCCTTCTTTGGTGGAACGTGAAGCTGTCTCCTCAACTCACTTCTTTCAGTGTGAGGATTTCCTATCAGAATGGCATCTGATTCTCACAGTGGTCTCTTTGATCTTTCAGGGCTTTTATATAACAAGTATTGGAGAAAATGTCATCGTGACCCTGAATCTGGGACTGCAAATTCTGTGAGTATGCAAAGTTGCATTGGCTTTCTTGAAAAAAAAAAAGCAAACAAACAAAAATTAGTGCTTTCTTTAAAACATATATGTGTTTGTTCATGCACAGTGAGAGTAACCATAATAACAACTTAACACGACAGCAGTGAACTTATTAGTAAGTTTTTGTGGGGTGCTACATAAAAGCATCTAACTCTATAGACAATTGAGTCAAGATGGGGCCTGTTCTGACCTATCCACTTCTTTCTCAAAGAGACCATGTGCACTATCTGTTAGGCAGCACAAGAAAGCATAATTGGAAAGAAACATAGAACTTGGTGTTAAAAACTCTTTTACCAGAGTATTCCAAGGGAAGAAGTTGGCTTGGGACTCCTAGTAATCCCAAGGGACACTTGAAGCACAAGAAGATTTTTTCACCCTGTATTTACACGTTGCCTTCAGCATTTACAGTGGATGTTTGTTGAGGCTGCTGGCAGTCTGAATCATCCCAGCACTCATGAACACAAACATTATCTGGGTGAGGGACATGATTAAGGAGCCCACTTCAAGATTAAAGTTAGCTTGTAAAAAATCTGATTACTCGGGAAGGCCAAGGCGTAGCATCGGTTGGATTGTTTCTTTAAAGGCAGGTTAAGCTGAAGCAGCAAGGAAACAGGCTGAATAGATAGTTTTAAACAGTCTCAAAGCATATTACGAAGCTGGTTGAAAAAAGTTGAATTTCTGAAGGCAAGCTCACAAGAGGTGTTTCCAGAATCAAATAAACCCTTCCAAGGCTTTACACAAATGCTATAAGGAGCAATAAAGGAGCTTGGAAGCCTGCCAGTGAGAGCTGGAAAAGGGATGTGCAAAGCACCATGTTTCACCTTGCTATTTCCCTCCAGAAATGCTATAGTCAAAGTGCGGGACTCAGATTCCAAACTCCAGCCAAGGTTTTGCTCTTAAAGTCCACTTAATGGCCACAGTATGGCTCTCTTTAGCTAGCCATGGCGCTAATGCTAGATAGAATCTACCACAGGAGGATGGAAACTTATAGGATCAAAATTGAATGATTGAAAGAACTCATCTTACCCAAACAGTCTAATTTTCTATATATATGTACATATACATGTGTATATTATATATATACCAGACAATTGTATTATATTTCCTTCTGAATTTAGAAAGAATTGAATGACATTTAAGTATGTATTTCTCTCTCTCTCTCTCTCTCTCTCTCTCTCTCTCTCTCTCTCTCTCTCTCTCTCTCTCTTTCTCTCTGTTTTAATCCTCCCAGGAAGACATGCCAATGAATCTTCCAGGTAAGTCCTTCTATTACTTTATTTCACAGAAGTGGCTTTGTCAGAATAAGCCTAAACTGGAACAGACTCTAAGATTTTAGAGGGAAATAGTCTTTAAATTTCAGAGACATTGTAGCCTTTCCTGATATTTGAACTGTCAGTTCTATAAAGAGTTTAAATTTATTACAGCCTTAATTAAAAATAAACCAGGTAGTGATAAGACTTCATATTATGAAAGGTTTAAGAACAATATCTTCCCAATCAGCTGTATCACAAAACTCCCTGTAAACTGATGTCCAGGTCAAATGGAGCCATAGAAAGTTAGCATATTCTCCCCTCTACAACAACATGTCCAATTCTATTTGGTCCTGTCCTTTGACTTCTGACTCAGGGATAGGAAGAACTGACCCTTTAGGTTTGTGGGTCTGTTTTCACGTCTCTAGGGGGCATTAGACATGATTTTATTTTTAAAACTTCTGCTTTCATGACTGAGATAAGAAGATCTAACGATAGCATGTATGCCCAGCTCAGAGATTAAACTACAAAAGCTGCAGCGAGCTTGGGAGGACAACTCAAGCTTATTCTCTTTGCATCTATATGACTCACCTGTACTCCAAATTTTGAGAGGAGACATAAACATGGTTTCAGTAATGGAAATCCCTCATAGAAATACATTTTCAGAGAGTATTTTCTGTTTTTCAGACGTTGACTTGCGTAAATACATCCTGAATATTGCTGAAGAAATGTCTTTAGATCAAGTTAAGACATTTGTCCGGAAGAATGGGATGTCTGAGGTGATGATAGACGAGATCAGGAACGACAATCTCCAACACACAGCTGAGCAGAAAATCCAGTTGCTTCAGGGGTGGTATCAAGCTCATGGGAGGAAGGATGCATATTGCACTTTAATTAAAGGCCTCAGAAGAATGAAATGCTATGCTCTTGCAGATAGAATTCAGGCCATAATCCCGGCGGACATTGAAAATGCAACTGCAGACACCAGAAATGAAAATGAATGAAAGGCAAAGACTCAAGTGAAAGCTACCTCAGTTCCAGAGAGAGAGAGAGAGAGAGAGAGAGAGAGAGAGAGAGAGAGAGAGAGAGAATCTTTTAAATCAGCACTGTGGCTGGTGTCTGAGTCAGGAGCATTGCTGTGAATTCAAGGCCAGACTGTGCAACATGGTGATCTCTGAACTAGCCTTGTCTCAATAATAACAAAAGAAAAAAAAAAACAAAGCAAAGAAGAACATTTTAAATAATGGAGATCTATAAATGTTGTTTGGCTTTTTGTTGAGAATATTTTCTATTTCCTTAGATTTGTAGAGACAATATATTTATAAAATGTGAAGATTTCATGATTCTGTTTTGAGTAATGTTGAAATGCATGTGGAGGATGGGCAGGAACAAGAGCAGCTGCGGTAATGATTTATGAACCCACATAGATGTCTACACAGAAGCATATAAACTCAATATCATGCTCTGGCCTGGAGTGTGGATAGTGTGTGCTGGCCTGCGGCGGACCATCCTGCTCCACGGCCATAAAAGGCAGGAGGTTGGCTATAAAGTCACACACACGGTAAAGGTTGATTTGTCCCAACCCAATTCCAGGATAATCGTAGAGATTTTACCATATACAGAGACTTGCCTAGCCATCCTTAGAGCATACACATGCAAAGCTTGCATGTATATTTAAATGTAGAATTAAATAAGGTTCTATTGCAAAGATTTTTTTGTGTGTGTGTGTGCAGACCATTGGTGTTTGTGAAGTAATATTTCTGATTTAAATTTGTGTGGAAAAATGTAGAATAAATCTAAATGATTGAATATATTATATTTATATACCACTTTATACTTCCAAAACAATTTGCTTGTTTCTCGGGTGTTAAAAGTGCTTTTTTTTTTTTTTTTTTTTTAATAGGAGTGTATTACTCCAGACTCACTGCCTCTCAGTTTTCTCCTTGTTCAACTTGATACAAACATATCCACTCCTAAACTTGAAAACTTTCCTAAAGAAATAGTGGTCCCCCCCCCCAAAAAAAAAACAGAACTGCCTTGGAAATTCTAATCTGATTTAGGAGAGCTACATTACTTTTCTAGGGGTAGGTTAAGACATGGACTCATGCCTACACCACCAGTGGTGGGGACAAAAATGAAAGCCCACTTGATTGCCTTTTGGCAATCCCTGGTGTGTTCTCTTTGCCTGCAAACGACAGTAGATGTTCAGCAAAGCTGAAATGCCCACAGGGCTCTAGGAATTGCTTCTGTTATTCTCTTCAGGTTCTGAGACAAACCATTTCCTCCATCTACCGCTATGCTGGTATCTTTGCATTTAAACCTCTATGAAGGTTGTATTAAATGTGAATTGGAATCTGCAGTGTCTCTTATGTTCACGTACTGTGAACTGAGGAGACTCGTAAACGGAAACACACACTTGCAGTTACCTAGTGATCGTCCACTAACGAACGATTCTTTTCCTCTATGTATGGAAATGTATGATAAAGGAGATAATTTTCTTTAGTTAAAGTATCATTTTGGCATTTCTAATTGATTCTCTGTTGTCTTGCTCGTTGTCTTATTTTTCCTTCACTCTAGTAACCACTTAAATGTTACCTGTTCAATGAATCATTACACCTTTTGTTAACTTCTGAAGAGCAAATTCCTCTTGTACATCCTCTTAGTAGTTAAAAGATTCATTCCATGGCTGCTACCACCAAGAATACTCCTAAATAGAACACAACCATTTGCCAAATATAATTATACAGGGGCACTAAAACACTGGTAAAAAAAAATACAAACATTAAGGGGTGAGTTTCTGTGTGTGTGTGTGTGTGTGTGTGTGTGTGTGTGTGTGTTCAGTGAGTTGAAAGGAGCAGATTCAAATACTATACTATAGCGACTTGATGACCACTAGGTCTCCTCTCTCTCCCTCCCTCCCTCACCTTCCCTCCTTCTCTTTCACCCCAAGAAGCCCTTAAAATTTATTTATCCCTTATTTTTTTTTGCATTTTTGAGAATATCATCTGAGCACAGAAATTCATGAAACAATAGCTTCCACATTAAAATCAAATTTAGCAGAAGCTATTTAGCAGAGTCACATAAAGTAAGGTGACTACGGCTCAGCTCATACCTTACAACCAAACAATCAAAGGAGGCTTTGAGGGTCTGCCACATGTGGAGGTGCCCCTTTCTCCCCCTTTTCGGTCAGTGTGTGAAAAAGTGATCCTCTTTGCCTATCATTGACTTCTCTTTCCTGTCTTTAATCTTTTTTAATTACAACAATAGGTTTATTTAACCCAATATTTCCAAGAATTGACCTTTTAGGATGCAGTCAGCATTAAAACTTTTATTTAGAACTGGAAGAACAGCTTTGCACAACGGGGGCATGAATTCAGTCCCTAGCAACACAATTAAACAAAACAACAGTCCCTTTAAAAATAAAAAAAAAAAATTACTAACAAAGCACTATTGATAAGACAGCTTACATTCCCCCAGAAAGTCTTAGAACGTGTGCTTTATTTTCACTTGTAAACATATCTCATTTTAGTTTCTCCCATTCCATAGATCTCGTAGGTACATGAGGACAGTAGCTACAGCAGAAGATAAAGTCTACCTTTCTCTTATTGAAGAGTCCAAGAATAAAATGTGCATATTCCAGAAATAAGGAAATATAAAATTATAAGCCTAGGAGAATGAGAAGAGACTGTCAGCAGCTTTCTCAGCAGCTTAAGGATTAACTATTAACAGTGGGTTACTCTGCTTTCCAGCCCATAGCCCTTTTTGCAATGCTGAAGCTGCCCTCTGCAAACTTAGGGTCATTCTGCAAACTGAGGATCTGCTTATAGATACTGCACCCCCATTCCTGGCCACTCATGACCAGAAATTGACGTGGGCTGAGTTAACTTTTAAATGGTGGGATGTACGTGACTTTTGACTCTTTGGTTTTATATTGTCCCATACCCTTCCCTGCTATGCAAAACTGGCTGTGTCAGGAAAGGTGCAGAGCCTTGGGAAACACTACCAAGGAATGCCAATGAGAAACAATGGGTTAAATACAAATACTAGTTTAACTGATAAACTCTGTTAATGGAAATTGCAAAGAAGCGCAATTTGTGTCTGAGTTTTACCTTGAGATTGTAAAAATTCTTTTGTTATTACCTAATGCTTGGTATAAAAGAGGAGGTCAAAAACCAGCCTTTGCCACAGCCTTACAAATCCATCTCTGGCTGTGGTCTCAGCTAGCTGATAAGCCTTTTGTGCTCCATGAAGTTTTATTTTTTTTTCTTCCTGGAATAAAGTTTGCTTCTGGTTTATTAGACCTTGATGGTCTGTCCCCATCTTTGAGCAACCTCCGTGGATCCAACAGTTATAGAGCCCTAGAATAACGGCAGCTCTATGGCCATTTAGCTCTACTAGCCGAAATCTGGATTTCCTGGGTGGGTCGTGCTCGACAGCTTTCCTGTCAGGGAGTTGGAAGCGCAGCATCTCCCATCTGTGAATTAGTTTTGGGGAAGTGTTTTGCTTCCAACCATTGTAGCTATTCTTTCTTTCTTTCTTCCTTCCTTCCTTCCTTCCTTCCTTCCTTCCTTCCTTCCTTCCTTCCTTTCTTTCTTTCTTTCTTTCTTTCTTTCTTTCTTTCTTTCTTTATAAAAGATTTCTGTCTCTTCCCCGCCACAGCCTCCCATTTCCCTCCCCCTCCCCCAATCAAGTCCCCCTCCCTTGTAAGCCCAAAGAGCAGTCAGGGTTCATTGTAGGTATTCTTTTACCTAACATTGCTGGCTCTTGGAGCCTGACTGTCTCAGACTCCGGGGACGTCTGAGTAGATTGCAACCCATCCTGAGCAGCCTTCTTCCCTCAAGGAATCCATCCATTCTCTACAGTCCAATGTGACAACCTCCTGAACGCCAATGTCTCCTCGCTAGCTTGGTAGATGACGACTTTTCTTGAGGAATCTGACCACTGTGGTCTCAAATCGCCTTTAGGAAGAAAGATTGAGTGGCGTCGGGATCGGCCTCCATTTTTCCCGGAGAGATGACAGTGTGGGCTGCCCTATCCAGCCTCGTAGTTGGAACCAGGAGAAAGGCAAGCCCAGTACAGTTGCCGAGTCATCCATGAAACACCCACTCTACAAGGTAAAATTAGTTGTGAGAACCTCCTGTGCCTACTTTAATGAGTTTGAACTTGAACCAAGAACTCTGAGTCCCTTTGAAAAGGCTTTGTCCATAAGGATGTGACACTTTCCCCTTGGGCGTCACCCAGAGGCTCCAGGGACGACTGTTCCCACACCAGTAATCACGGCTGTGCTCTGGACTTCTTGGTCCAAAGTCACGTTGTTTGAATGAGCCACATCTTGTTTGTGGTAGACATTCTGAGCAGGAATATCACCCAAATGTCCTTTATGGGCCTCAGAAAAAGACTATCTGCAAAAGGTGAGAGACCCTGTGGGTGTTGCATACTTAAACATCCTTAGCAACTCCACAGAGTCCGCTGGTGTCTGGTTTGGTCAGGCACCATGCGGTACTGAACTGCCGATTTCTGTACAGTGATGTGGATAGGGCATACAAGGCAACATTGTTTACAACTGATTTCCATGCTCGCCTCTGAATGTAAATTTACCTGGATCAGAATTTTATGCCAGGGGCTGGGGTGCAGCTCAGTGGTAGACCACTTTCTGGGCATTCTAAGACCCTAGGATCCATCCCTACTTTCGAGATAAACAAATAAGGAATGGAAAGGGGGAAGTCTACTCAATGCAAGATATTTGCAGTTTCTTTGGAGCACTTTAAAAACCGGTTCATAAACACTGTTTCTTGTTTGTTGGTGACATGCCCACTGCTAATCTAATTATTCCTTTCTGGGGTAACCCTTTTACTTCCCCCACTGATAGATTTTTGAAGCTTCCTCTGCTACACTTCCTTGGTGTTCTGCAATTTTACTTAAAAAGTTTCAGTGTGGATTTATTTATTTCTTTCTCCTCTTTTTTCTCCTCTCCCTCCTTCTCCTCCCCGTCTTCCTTCTCTCCCAGCGTCTCCTTTACCCACCCATCATCCTCCTTGTTTTTGGAGGTCTTTATCTGTGGTTTAGGCTGATCTGGTATTTGTGGCACTCTTCATTCCTCAGCCTCCCAACTGTTTCGATTAAGGTGGATTTACTTTTAATTCATTTGCTAAGCGGTGCATCTTTTAAAAAATCATTTCTTTTTATTTTTTGAGAGTATAATATATCATTTCTCCTTCCCTTCCCTCTCTCGAAACCCTCCCATTTCCTCTCTGTTTCAACCTCATGGCTTCTTCCTCCATTGATTGTTGTTAAAGGCATATGTGTACATACATATATATTTCTATATACATAAATACAACCTATTCAGTCTGAATAACATTACTCGTATGTGTATTTGCAGGGCTGACTGTCTGGCATCGGATAACCAGCTCTGTGCTCTTCTCTGGGGAAAGATTACTTCTGCTCTCGGCATTCTGTAGTTGTCTGTATCCTTTGTGTAGAGTTGGGGCTTTCTAAGCTTGCCCCTAACCACATTAGCATGTCACCTGACGTCATTCTTGTTCAGCTCCTCGTCGTGTTGGTGAGGTTTTGTAGAAGACACCATCTCACAGCAAACACTCTGGTCCTCTCTTTTCTCTTTTTTGAAAAAGGCACAGTTATCTTCTCTTTCTTCCTTTTATTTATTTTTTTTTCTGTTCTGAAAACTCAACTGAGCATGCTTCCGTATGGCTCCCTACATTCTTTCTGAAGCACAGCACTACCTAGTGAAGTTTCTTGGGTTTCTCTCTACTCTCTCATGTTTTTTGAAAACATATATACAGATTGCATTTAGGGAGATGTTTCATTATTTTCCCAAAATAAGCCATTTCCTTTTTTGTTGTTTTTAATGTTTGTGATTATTTTCAAATGCTCGCCTGTACAATTTTGTCTCCGCTTGTTTTTTCATGTAAACATGATGTGGGGGATTTTTCTCTGTTATTTTTTCTTGTTGTAAACAAATATCCAACGAGAGGCAACCAGAGAGAGGAAGCTTGGCTTGCGGTTTGAGTGGACAGTCCGTCATGACAAGGAGGGCCTGCCTGAGGGACTGTGAGAAAGCTGGCCACACTGTGACCGCGCTCAGCGAGTAGTGATGGAAGAGTGTTGGTGCTCTCTAGCCTTCTCTATGAATCCTGGCTCATGGGATGGGGCCCCCCTATGGTCAGAGTGGTCTTCCCTCTTCGCTTAAACCTATCACGAAACACCTCACAGACCTACCCAGAGGCGTGCCTCTTAAGAGCTTATAAATCCAGCCAAGGTTGCAGTCAAGATTAATTACCCCAATTTTATCCCACCATTGCTTCTTTAAGGATTCTACAGGTCTCTGGAAGTCCTTTCCAATAGCAGGTTTTTTTTAAATTTTATTTGTTGTGATTTCATTCTGCCAACTGTAAGTTCACTTTCCTCATGTGACATCTGTATGTGTGTGCACACATGCATGCACATGTGCACTGTTTACACGTTTGTGTGCAGGTACACATACCGATGTGCATGGACAGGGAGGTCAGAGGAGAATAAGAGGTGCTCTGGTCGCTCATGTTATTCTGTTGAGACATGGACTCTCACCGAACCTGGACCTAGACTAGCAGCCAGCCATCTCTGCCCACTTCACATTACCCATGTTACACGCGTGTCACACTTGGCCGCTTTTTACGTGAGTTCTGGAGACTTGAACTAAGATTACCCACATCTCTGATACTTTGAGTTTTGTTGTAAGATTCATCTAGTTACTGGGTAGAAACATCTACCAGAGCCAGAAATCACACAAGTGGGAAAAATGGCTCTACTATCCAAAAAAAAAAAAAAAAATGAAAAAAATGAAAAAGGAAAAGAATAAGAAGGCCCCTAAGCAACGAGCAACTTTAAGAAGAGAGGATCTAGGCTCTTGACTGTTGGTTAGTATCACGTGACTCAATGTAATCTGGGTTAAAAATGTCTTAGCTATAAAATCCAAGGCCCAAGATTTTGTCAGTAAAAAGTCAACAGTGAAGGTTGAAACTGACTCCAAACCCATCACCAAAAAATACAGCAAGTCAGAGGAAAGCAGTGCTGTGTTTCCACATGGCCACAAGATGGCACTGTGACTCCAGCGCCGACTCAGATGATGCCTGCAAATTTTGTCATAGTTTGACTCTCCCACTCAACCCGCCAACAGAACAGAACAGAATAGAGTAAAACAAGAGTATCTAGAATAGGGCAACTTCCTAGGTCAAAGGCTACCCTCTTTTCACGACCTAGCTGTTTAACTTTAGATTGAACGTCCCTGAAGTTTGGTTTCCATGCCTGTAAATCGAAGT